CGAATCTCCATCCGGCGGTAGACGCTTTTCATATATATTATGAAGAAATACCTACAAATTCTACATAATGTTCGTACTTTAGGCAATAATTTGTTGCTCAATATACGGTGTAGTAATCGATATTTTTGTGCAATATTGCCATGCACTGCTTCAACAACCCTAGATCCTAGATTTATTTGTTTCTTCAGTCGTGAGTTGTTTTGTCTTGACTCTGCAACATGGCATAAGACGAACATAACCTGCTGATTTCATATCAGAAATAGCATCACAAAATTCTCGATCTACTAAAAAAATATCATCAGGATTCAAGAAAGACCTGATTCCATGCGAATCTTTCAATACAATTTTCATAATGTTTGCATCATTTTGTGTTGCCAGAAAGGGCCCAAAAAATTCAACCATGAAACCATTCGTTGTGCAAATTGTGTATGGCTTACACAGTGGAACCCATTTCTGACCAGAGAACGACTTCCTTTGATACTCATTATTTGTGCTTTTTTCATGCCGTATATATGTTCCGTCACAAATCAAAACTAGCCGATCTTCAGGCAAACTAAGAATTTTTTTCGCATTGTATGAAGTCTCCGAAATTAATTGGTCTCTAGCAAAAGACTCCAATCCAAAATTTTGAACTAATATATCCTTTTCAAAACCATTTAAAATTTGAGAATAATAATGAGAGACTTGCCTTTTAGAAATATTAAAAATAGCGGCGATGACATCGTTAGAGTTCCCCATTCTTAATTTAAATAAAAAAATAACTAATGCTTGCATAATGCTACGTTTTTTGTTATCTTTCATTGATCTAAACAATTTACTTAAATCTATGATGACTTCCGGATATATAGTTAATATTTTTATTTTCTCCGGTGGCATTGCAAAATTTCTCTGTTCTTTAGTTTGAGTTTGCCAAAGCGTTTAAAAAAATGGTCACTTCTTTCTGAGGAACATAGCTTGTATTTGAATAAATACGCAACTGATGTATATCTTCTTCATAAAAATTTTTACCGAACAAATGCTTATTGCAGGTACGATTACCTGTCTGAATATATTTTCTGACCTTTGCAAATACTTGAATTCTGGCCTCGAAAGGAATAGTAACAAAACTAGATCTATTACTGCAAATAGAACAATGTCTCTGGGTCGATGCAATTCGATTAAGACTAAGTTCAACAACTAATTTAGTTTTTTCAAAAATATTACAGTCATATTCACTACAAAATTCACTAACAGAGCTGTTATCACTACTACTAAGCACTAAATTATTTACATTGGATATGCTTGTTTTGCTACTAGAGTTTCTATAAGGTATTAGTCTACACGTAGCACACAAAACATCACTAATAATAACAGTTTTCCCTGTACAATTGCGTATCAGCCTCAGTTAAAACGACTTTTTGCCCACTCATTTTGATCAAACATTCATTGCAGTTTTTGCAATTTTGCGATATTATTATTCTTATTATTTTAACAAATTAACACTAAAATATACACTGAGCAAATATAATTGTCATCAAAATATTGAAATATAGCAAATTCAACTGATACAAAATTAGCGTTCACAAAGCATCAAATAAAACACAAGAAAGCAAAATAAAGTCAGCACAAAATATCGTTCACAAAATCCAATAACGAATGAGTTTTCGAAAACTAGATAATTGCTTTCCTAAATTTATTATTTAAATTCCAAGTGACTGTATTTGAGGCATACACAACATCAAATGATGTGTATTTGTTAAATAATAAAGTCTAGAATTTTGGATTACTAAATATTATATCTTTACTGCATTGTAGATTTAATAAAATAGGATACAATAAGGGACATATTTTTATCTGAATGTTCAATTATTATTCGAAAAGAGATTGTGTACTTGTGTTCAATTGATTTTTAGGAATGTTTTGACCATTTTTATACGTATATAAACATACAAATAATATTATCCAGATCTTCAATGTATATTTCTATGCAGAGGTTTTGTTACAGGAGAGTGTTCATTGTCCAGCGCAATGAATGCGCGTTGCAATTTAGTTGCGTTATACGAGGTGTCCATTCCCGAGCGCGCTGGTACTAGCTTCGGTTTTTTCAATTTTCGAATGTGTTCTACCACATAGAATTCAACAGAATTTTCGTCAGTAATAGACAAATGTATGGGCTTTCGAATGATGCTAATTAGTCCAAACAGACGCACTGCCCGAAAATGCAAAACAAAAACTTATTTTAGCTTTTTTATGCACCTGTAAATAATTTTTTAACACTATTTGTTAATGATAATATAGTCAACACCAATGTAAATAGATTCGCATTATTTTTTTGTCGATATCTTTTATACTTTCGACAAAAAATGACTTTGAAAAAAGACTCTCGCATATTAATAATATCTCGGACAAATGATGAGCTACGGATTTGAAATTTGGTATATCGGATTTTCTCGAAAATATCTATAAAATGGCATCAAAATTATTTAAATACCAGGATGGGGCCAATTCTGCATGAAAACAAGCCCATACCCTTTAAAAAAATCCAAAAATTTTCAGAAAAACATGTTTCGATTTTTCGTACTAAAAATGTGAAAAAAACCTTAAAAATCGATCACGTGATTAATGGACGGCTCCTTAAATGTAAAAATGCAAGTGTGGTTTTCGAAGAAATGTTTTTAAGTTATATTTGAAAATATTAAAATCGTTTGTGGATGTAAATTTTAAACATAATACTATCAATCCCGCCAAAAAAATAGTTACAAAAATATATTATATAATATAATCATAGCATAGAAAACTTCTGGGATGGAGAGAGATTGTGATGTGATATATATATATATATATATATATATATATATATATATTAATTTATATCATAACATCTAAATTTTTGTACGTTTTTCAAATTCTAAAACAATGCATATTTATATGCATATTGTTATCTGATAAATTTATCATCTAAAAATATTAATTTATTTTTTTTAACTTCCCATAGGGTGAGTTATAGTAATCGCAAAAAAATCGATAATCAAAATTTTTATTTATCTTTACGTTTCAGAGGTTTCTGAATATTTTCGCATACCTTAGAAAAAATGGATGTATGTGTGTGTGTATGTGTGTGCGTGTGTATGTGTGTTCGGATACAAATTTTCGTTGACGATTTGGGGAACACGGATGAAGCGATTTGAATAATTCAAAAAATATTCGATTCATATTGATAAGGAAACGTGCTGATTAGTTTTTGGCGAAGGCAGGTCTAGCCGTTCCAAAGATATGGGGCAAAAAATGCCAAAAACGGTAATTCAGTTTTTAAGAGAACGGAGCGTCTGATTTGAATAATTCATAAAACATTTTACTTGTATTAACAAGATGAAGAACTGATCATGAAAGCAGGTCTAGCGGTTTCGGAGATCTAGTAAAAAAAGTAAAAAATCTGGCTGTCAAAAATTATCATTAGACAGATGCACATCAAATTATCAGATATTTTATAGAGATTTTAACAATAAGTATAAATTTTGTTCACATTCCTATGGGTTCCGTACCAATGCTTATCCGTTCGATGCATCGATATTTCGTCTCTATGCAGTTAAAGCAGTACGATTGCTTTGAAAAAAAGTTCAGAATTTCCAAAATATTTCAAAATACACTTTTCTTCAAAAAGTCTTTTTTCAAAAAAAAGGAAATTTTTGTCAAAAATTTATAGTTTCTCAAAAATCTAATTTTTCAGAGTATTTTTATTTTCAAAAATGTTAATCTTATAAAAAAATAATAATTTTTGGTACGGGTAGTTCCAGCAATTTGCCTTAAGGCACGATGCCATGCGCCCCACTAGTTTTTTATTTATGTGGATTCATCCAGACACTCGCAATTATAAATGGAGTTGCAAATGACAAAAGTTTAAGAATCTGTGCTATAAAGTATTTGATAGTTTTATGCGCAGTTAAATGTTAATTTTCAGTATATTGGTTTTGGTTTTTTCGACCGTTTTAAATACATTGTCGACTGCCTAACAATTCAAATCGATTTAAACGCACATAACTTTTTTTGGTCAAGATTTATTTAACCCTCCGTCGGTCGGCGTGGTCTGGCCAGACTTTTTTCGACTTCAATTCAAAAAAAAATACTTCTAGTAATCCTATCGACTTGAAATTTCTTGACTTCTAAAATTTCATTAGCTGTCGATCAATGAAAAATCAGGACGCAAAAATGTATAGAAGGATAATTATAAGGATATTAATTTTTTTATACTTCGAACGGTCAGAAAGGTCTGTCTAGACCATCCATACATTTTGTATGAAATATACGCATTTTGATATATGTAAACCAGTATTTTGTCTCAAACTGCGTTGTATATATTCTTTGCTATGTGTTGTAACATGAATGTTAGTATTTTCATGACTAGAGTTCCTTGAAAACCTACCAAACTTATTGGTAATCGCAAACACTGAAAATCGGATGAGTAATGCACACATTATCAGCAATTTTTCTACCCGTACTGCGTTCGAAATTTTTTTTTGGCAAACCTGTAGTGAAATTATATTTTCACTTTGAGTTTTACAGCTCATTTCAAAGGCGACGCACCTCATTTCGTTTTCATTTGAATTTCACATTCATTTCAAAGGCGCCGAAAAAAAATAAATATTGTTTTTCATTGATATAAAACAGAAAAATTAACAAAAAAAAACAACGATTTTTTTATATTTTTTTATTTTTTTATATAATATAATATGTAATATATTTATTATAAGCAAGCTCAACACATGCAAAAGACGGTAAGAAAAAGAAAAAATCAAAACTATAAATATTTACTACTAATAATAGTTAAAATATAAGACACCAAAAACTCATTTATCCCATATAAATGCATGTAAAATGAATGGTGGTCCAGTCAGACTTTTCCGACCGTTCGAAGGTGAAAAAATATCCGACCGACGGAGGGTTAAACTTGAAGATATCGAAAATACCATTCATTTTTAATTCCGACTTACGTTACTGATTGTTTGTGTATTTGTACCTTCCAGAACAGAAGATAAGTCCTGCAACGTTCTGCAAGGTGTTTCCATTCCACGTGCTGTTCGACCGGAACCTGCGTGTAACCCAGGCGGGCGGCGCCGTGTCTCGCGTGATTCCGAAGCTGAACCAGGTCGACTGTTTGCTGACAGACGTGCTGTTTGCCGTCCGCCCGCACCTGAAGCTCACATTCGATAACGTGTTGTCGCACATCAATACCGTGTACGTGCTCAAAACAAAACCGGGGGCGATGTGCGGTAATCTGCCAGATGAATTCGCAAGCCTACGTCTCAAAGTAAGTCGGGGACGAGGGTGACGCGCACACGGATTAAGTGCCATCGAAGTATTATCATCTTAGTGACTCTTCAAGAAGGGCTTTGAATACGATGATTTTCTTTTTATTCTTCTCACGCCCTATGAATGATATCATTTTTGCAGATTTTCACGCTAAAATTACTAAAGTTTCAAATATTTAAAAATTTACAATAACTAGCTGTAAGTGGAATTCTGTCTTAAGGCAATTAAGGCATCGTGCCTTAAGGTAAATTGCTGGAACTTCCCGTACCAAAAATTATTATCTTTTTAAAAGCGATTTACATTTTTGATAAAATTTTACTTCGAAAGAATTAGATTTTTGAGAAACTATAAATTTGACAAAAAATACTTTTTTTTGAAAAAAAAAATTTTTTTTTGAATACAAAATTTTTTTGAAAAGAAAAATGTTTTCTTCGTTTTGACATATTTTGGAAATTCTGAACATTTTTTCAAAGCAATCGTACTGCTTGAACTGCATAGAGACGAAATGTCAAAGCGAGCAAGTGCCGCGCCGCCGTCTAACGCATAAGCATTGGTACGGAACCCATAGAAATGTAAAAAAAAATATACTTATTGTTAAAATCTCTATAAAATATCTGATAATTTGATGTGCATATGTCTAATGATCATTTTTAACCGCCGAATGGCATTTTTTTTTACTTTTTTCATTAGATCTCCGAAACCGCTAGACCCGCCTTCATGAAAAATAAAGGCACGTCTAGAAGCAGAAAAATGATCAATTTTTCATCTTGTCAATACAAGTAAAAGGTTTTTTGAATTATTGAAATCGGACGCTCCGTTCTCCTAAAAACTGAGTTACCGTTTTCGGCATTTTGCTTCGGAACGGCTAGACCTGCCTTTGCCAAAAACTAATCAGCACGTCTCCTTATCAATACGAATCGAATGTTTTTTTAATTATTCAAATCGGTTGATCCGTGTTTCCGAAATCGTCGACGAAAATTTGTATCCGCACATACATACACACACGCACACACAAACACACACACACACATACATCCATTTTTTTTAAGGTATGCCAAAATGTTCAGAAGGTTTTGAAACGTAAAGATATATAAAAATTTTCATTTTCGATTTTTTTTGCGATTACTATAACTTGCCCTACGGGAAGTTAATAAAAACATACTGTCCATTAAAAAATTCTTAAATTTTTCGTTAATTCGTAAACTATTAGTAATTCTTTTGTTAGTACAAAAACATAAATAACTGGATTTAAGTGGCATTTTGACTTAAAGAATCTTGCATGAACTTTTTTATCGACTTAAAAAACTAGTGGGGTATGGCATCGTGCCTCAAGGCAAATTTCTGTAAGTTTCCGTAATTTAAATTTTTTAAAAACTTCGAAATTTGGAAAAATCTTTTTTGAAAATTTTGAACTTTTTTGAAGGCTGAAATTTTTTACAAAAAAAGACTTCTTGAGTTTTTTGAAATATTCTGAAAATTTTGAAATATTTTGAAAAGTTTAAAACTCATTTAATTTGGATCCATAGCGTCGAAAATGTCGAAGAAATTTGGTTGAACTGTATAAGTGAGTTGAAAACATTATAAATCTTGATATGGAACCTAAAGAATTGAAAACAAAACTTGTACTTACTATTAAAATCTCTATAAAATATCTGATATATTAATATGCACATGCCTAATGTTCAATATTGACCCCGAAATGGCAATTTTAAACTTTTTCCTGGATCTCCAAAACCGCTGGACTTGTCTTCCTTTACAAAATTTTTATCAGTTCTTCATTATGTGCATACATGTAAAATGTTATTTGAATCCTTCATATTTTACACTCTGTTCTCTCAAAAACTGAATTACCATTTTCGGAACTTTTTGCCCCTTATCTTCGAAACGGCTACACCTGCCTTGACCAAAATCTAATCAGCACGTCTCCTTAACAGGAATCTAATATTTTTGAATCATTAAAATAGGTTGATTCGTGGTCTCGAAATCGTCGACGAAAAATTGTATTCGCACACGCACACGCAAATATGCACATTGGCACACGCACCCACACATACATAAATTTATTTTTTCTAAAGTAAGGTGTTTAAAAATGTTCAGAAGGCTTTGAAACGTAAAGATACATACATTTCCCATTTTAGATTTTTTGCGATTTCTATATCTTACCCTACCTACGGTAAATTAAAAATTTAAATTTAGCTACTTAGATAAAATATTCAATCGTTTATTACAAAAATAAACCTTTTGTTTTCACTAAGCAGTTGATTAATTTCAAATAGACCTATATCTATAGTTATATCAATTATAATGCACAAACACGCCCTTGTACATCGGCGCGGCCCATTATTCTAACAAACTTCAATTATTCTTATCAAACCATTTTTCATACGACCACGAACTCTATTAGCGTGTTAACAATACAAATAGGGGAAAGTACCCGAGTGCCGGACACCTAAGGTTATTTATAAATAAATCAAAAAATATTTTGAAATTAACAAAAACGCAATCTTTGCTAAGCAATAATTTATAATATCAATCAAACTTCGGTAACAAAAAATATGATTTCACAAAGTGGCACCAAATATCGGACATTTCAAAATGACCAGCATTGATCACATATGTAGCCATCTCCACACTCTGGAATGTCTGCACATTTGTGTTTGACGAATATTCTTGGATATTGCAAAATAAAATCACGAATTATCTACCCTTTTGGCGGGTAACACCGATGCTTTCAGCTGGAGCATTCATCATAAGATTTTCATTCTTTGACTAGAAAATACGAAAAATAGGGGTATGTAGTGACCGTTAGCACTCATACAGAACAAAATTAAATAATTAGAATAAATTACGTCAATTCTCACAAGAAATATAATATGTTTACTTCCGTCGCTAAGGGACGACTTAGTGTCCGGTGCTAAGGGACAGACAATTTCGTTCATTGGTGGTACCTACTAAAATTGTTTAAAATATCTAACAATATTCTACCATTTTACGGATAACAATCAAGTATTACTTTTATTTTTGAATGCCACTAAAATATAAACCGAATTAGTTAATATATAAAAAAACGTCGACATGAACATAATAAATGGTGAAATATGAGGATTAAGAAAATCATAAAAGCCGCCGCAAGAATCATCCAAGCCCACTTGCCAGAAAACTACGCCGAAACACTACTAGGGCAAGATTATATAAGAAAATCGTGTTACATTAAAATATGTCAATTTCCAAAACTTGTGACTACGGTCTGAAGATTTTCTATTTTGAAAGTCTTTTCTTCTACAGTTTGACATGTTGTCCATTTCAAAACAGATGTGAAAATTGTTATAATATATTAGGTTGTCAAATATCTCCCTTCCGCTTTTTGCTCTTGGGTTATAATACAAAAAGGCGGAAGGGAGATATTTGACAACCTTATAATAAAAACTTCCCGAAGAAGTTTGTTTTGCCAAAAAATCCGACTTACTAAATTCATGTTTTTTTACTTTTCAAGCCATTCTAAATCGTTTGAGATCAACTTTGGAAAAAGTATTTGTGGGTGTATGTGTAATCAATTATAGATCCAAGTTAATTTACATGCATTATAGTAATAGTATTAGTAAGACATCATTCATCAATAATAAAAATTAGTTTAGAATAGTTGATTATCACATAAAATACATATAGAATTTTTCATTCATATGCAAAAGTAAAGGATTCCGTTTCTGGCAAATTTTTTTTTTTTTTTAAATGCAGATTTATTTTTACAATATTATTTTACAATCGTTCATTAAAAATTATATGTAGTCATTATCATAAACTAAAAATATAATGAAAACTAAATGATTTTATCATGGAATTATATTTGCAGTTTGTATTGCGAGTTATACAGCAAAATGTTACATTTTATAATTAATTACTTTAAGATTAAGATTAAATGTAGGTGTTAAAAATATTCGAAAGAATAAAAACCGTGGATAAGTATTTAAATAATCTATAAATACAAATCATGATTATATACCATGAATAAAATTTGACAGATGTGCTTGCCCCCTGAAATAATAATTGTAACATTCTAATCATTATATATGAAATGATTTTCCAACTTCGCGTTTGATAAGATTATCCTAAAACTTAGTTTATCAGTTTTACATTTAAATTTAATTAAAATTAATTTACTTGTTTCTTCAAATACATTACTCGAAAGCTCTATCACTTTTTTTTTTCAATTTTTATTGGCCTCCGCTTTACAGCATTTTTAGCCGTCTACATTATTCATATTATTTTTCAGCAAATTCTATATAATTCTTACATATATATTTGTTTAACATATATCATATATATATATATATATATATATATATATATATTTTTCCTTCTTATATCCTAATTTTCTATTCAATTTTTCTTTCAACCGATTTTCATTCTTCTTGTTTCTCAATATGTAACATCATATCACAATCTCATCTCATCTTCTAAACTAAACTTCTTTTTTTCCTTCCTACTTCTAATACAA